GTCAAGTAACTAATCTTCTTGAAGAAACCTTGACTTTCCGCATTGCACCTTGTCCAGGTGGTTCTGTTTTTCGTTTCCTGATTCACACTTCCGCCGGTAATGCCTCAGAATGGCATGTAAGCCTCTGCTAACAGGAAAGTGTCTGAGGCAACATAATTGCGATAGAGGACCATCGATGGTCGACGTGTCATCATCTTTCCTTCCGTGTTACCGCCTGTTGAATGCTTTAATTCTCACAGCTTTCTTTTAGGGGTCATGGTGTGGCTGACGTAATTTTGCTGTTTCATTTTTGGAAATTTTGTCAAGAAAGACATGGAATCTGAATTTTTGCTTTTGTTGGTGATTTTCAAGTACAGACAACCGACTGAGACTCTCTTAATTAGGCGGGCACTTTTGGATTCAAGCAATCTCATATTAGGCTGAATGCCTCCATTCTACGGGCCTCCTTTCCGGAGGTTCCCTTACGAGTTATAATTTTACCCACCCGCTTATATGCGTGCTCCTAAAAAATGCGTTTGGAATGTTTTCGAAGGAGGCAGGAGGCTCTACCATATATAGTGAAAACCATAAGACGTTGGATAAATATTCTGATACGCTTTCGAATAGGACCCAGTATCTAGGCGATGTTTCAAAAGAGATCATACTGTGACTCACTTGCAGGTTAATTCCCACAAATGAGCTTGTTGACTTTAAAATGGGCTCACTGTTAGCCACATCTGCGCAGCTTTCGCTGAGAAAAACACTGCTGCTTACATAAGTATTGCACTTTTTTTCCTATTGATTTTTGGTGCCTACAAACTGTTCAAGTGCAAATTTACCGCCTCCAGTTGAGGCAAAACGTATGAGAAAACTTCTTCACAGGGGCTGACCGCAGAACAGTCCGTGCCGAGACGGCAACCGAGCGGTGAGTCTGGTGGCTTTGCCAGCATCGGTGGTGTAATTCGGGGAACGGCAGAGTGCCCTTACGAACCAAGTATGGAAGAACTGCTGGTCGACTGCACAATAAAATCTGGCAGTATGGGTTCCAGGCCGTACCAAATGTCTACTAAGTTTGCTATTTAATCGCTTCAGTCTCAACATTACGTATGTATATCTTTTGAGGTTACCAATAACGACTGAAAATAGCATCCAGCTCTGAGTAATTTGACAATACTATCCGGTGGTATTCACGCGCTCCGCTGAGCTAATGTCGACGCATTATTCACCCCTTACTTAACTGACGTGTACGTTTAGATGAGTACTCGAAGATCCCATACAAGTAATCGAACGCGTATCCAATTTGTACCCATATATTTTCCTAAATAGTCGAATCAACAAGGAGTTTGAAGAGCTTTACCTGTTTTATTACGCACCGAACCAGATTGGCCAATCACAGTCCACGCACTTCTTACACAGTAACATGGCAGGATTCTAGGGCCAGTCCATGATTCGTCATATGCCAAAGCTGATTTGCCAGTCCAAGTACGACTCACGCTTCATTGCTATTAGGGGTTTAGGATATTCGGAAATTGATGCAGGAAAAAAAAGCAACAGTTGTCCTCTGTTCCGCCCACTTTAAATGCGGACCTGCGCTTCTGAATCAATTCCAGCATCCAAAAAGTTGCGTGCCTGGATTTAAAGTTTTCGTTTCCTGTTTCCTCCAACAGCCTGAACGACGCGCTTTTGAGGAATTGGAGACCATAACCCTACAACCAATTGGCAAGGGAGTGCAGGATCTCGACTCTCGTATGGGTTCCACGACAACACTATCTCAACCAGCCAGACCTACGGCCTCCTCGATGATGGAAGGTTAGTTTTCAAGCTGTTCCTTAGTAATTTAACTAAAAGAGGGTGCCTGAGTCATGGAGATTATTTTTTTAATTTCTCTAGCAATTAATGTGCGAACTTGGAGTAAAACCCTTTCAACTAAAGCTTCTTGTTTCGGCCCGAACTTGGATGTGAATACTCCAGCTGAAGTCCGTCACGTTATGTGGAATATGAACAAGGCGAAGATCACGAGATTAGCAGAATTTATTGAGGCCACACAATTTCGCGACCCCTTTTTCGACTGCAGACGGTCATTGCCTATTAATGAGATAAATTAACTGTCCAATTAGGCATCGACCTAGAAAGGTGAAACCTGATAGGTAAATAGAGTGGGAGCTGTTAGCCTTAGATGTGGGCACATGGAGAGGGGGGTGTAGAAGAGGGAGGTGGTAAGCACAGGAAGGCGGTTCATGTTACAGTGAAAGCCTGTCAATCGTGATTAAAGGGGGGAGGCAAAGGGCAGGGTAACAGTCGGTCATAAAAGGGAGGGAGTAGGCATGAGATCGAATGGGTTTATCGATCGTTACCACCGCAATGCGAGATTGACCGCATGATCAATACATTGTGCGAGTCTCGTGATCTTTGCCTTTTTCAAATATCTTCCGCGAAAACATTGGTTTAATTATGTGTACTAACCGCGTATAAGTTAAAAGTGTCCATAGGCAGTCCACAGTATACAAATACTTAATTATTCACCCTATTCACAGCACGCACATTAGCTAAAAACCGAAACACTTCATTTGCCAATCAATTTTATAAAATTATTGTAATTGCGATGGAGCGAATCCGTGTTATCTGTTGCATCA